AATAGATGACGTCACTGAAACTACTGCGCATAACAAATTGTCGTTCGCTACGCTGGTGCTGCCCCGGCTGCTGTTGTTTTCGAGGTTGTTTTTAATGTATTGAAGAAACCCGAAATATACAGTGAACGTGCCAGAATGGATATTAAGTAAGATAATCTGTTTTTGATGTTTAGGATATTCTTTATATGAAGCAAAAATGTACGGCAAAGCCGCCACTTAAACGTCGCAGCTGGGGTCGCTGTGGCGCGTTCTATGCGTGCCACGCTGGGGCTCACCGAGAACGCTCTGAGCTGAATGATTTGTGAATGCAGATGAGAAAGTCATAGCCGTCACTTCCACGGGGTTCTGACATTTTTTATCTGAGTTGAAATAACTTCAATAATTTTATACTCGTTAAATTGAGAAGTACACACTGCTGAAACTAACGTTCGTTGTGTATTTCTAATTTTTTTTCTTCAGCAAACAATGTATGTACAATGTATGTATGCTACTAGAGGTGCATTATTTGGCGTTTGCAACGCGCATAGTACTGTATGGTGACATCATGTCAAGATCCCATTCAAGTCTCATCTCGTAGATAGCGATACTGATGCTACGACCTTCTGACATGACATAGGCGGTTTGTAATAAAACAATAATACATGTATTACCACATTCATAGTGAAAAAATGTAATACATCGAAAATGTACAGAAAACATCGTAATCCGTCATATCGTGAGCATCTATTTTGATCCACCTGGACATCCCAGTATTCTAGTTACCTCGGGCATGAGCATTCGCATTTTTCTGAGTTCTAACGCTTATGCGGGAGCGAGATTGAAACGGGATCTTGGTATCATGTCACCGTAGTTGCAAACCCCAAGTAATGTACCTCTGATGCTACTAATTGTGTAATATGTCACTTGTTATAATACATGAAGTAAAATATTGCATATATAATGTTGTTAGTTTGTGGGAGGGCGGGTGTGAGAGATGTATAAAAGGTGTAGTTGTGCATAGGAGATGTCTGTTCGATGTGATAAAATAAATAACACATTACACATAACACACACGATTATCTGCCCCCGTGCTGTTGGTCATGACCGTATTATTGATGATCATCAAAGTTACCCTCACAAACATGTGTTATTATTCCAATAGCAGGGCACGGGATGGGATGTTCGCTCGAATAGTAGACCGGACTGCGTTTCGCCAATTATTGCACACATTCCCGTCCCTGCGCTGTTATCACACAGGAGTGACCGGCATGTCTTTCATTCCCTAAGTAACTGTAGTGTATTAACCCATCAGTGGGTTCACATTAGTACATTAACCTTATTAAGCTAAGGAGTCTTATTTGTGTGTTAACCCGGAAGTACTATTAAACGGAGGTCATTACACCCAAGATGGCAGCCCAGAGCTGAGTTTAATCTGTTGTGTCTGTGTGTTTAATCCAGACCATCCGCTGTCTTAATGAAGACAGGGACTGTTCAATTGGCGACGAGGATAATAATAATAG